GAGAGAGAGAGAGTGGAGGGACTACTCAAGTCTGCTTATATCAGTTCAAAACTTTGGGACCAGAGTTATTGCTTAGATCTTAAGATATTAGTGCCAGGATTATGGTGGAATCTCTGCAACAAACTAGCAGCTCCTTAGAGAGTCAGTGAAGCTCTGTTAAATTACCAATCACCATAATGATTTTCCCGTAGAAATGAAGAAAGTGGCTACGGATTAGCTTATAGGGTGGAAAGAAGGGGGAAATGGTAAAGTGACCAGGGCAGAAAGGTCTAAGGTTCTGATAGTGAGAAAAACTTGTAGGTGATATGGGGCCAAGTTGGAAGGGAGCCAGCTAAGAGGAGAGATCAAAAAAGGGGCAATAGGAATTAGAGGTGTTTATGGTGGAGAATGGTGGATTTCAAGAACAGAGCCGTTTATGGGGACAATTAGAGAGGGAGGGTGCCTTTTTTTCTTTTCCTTTTTCTTTTTTTATTTTTTTGCTTTTTTTTTTTTCTTTTTTTTTTTTGGAAGGGGGGAGGGGGGGTCGGTTTGGAGTTGCAAAGAGGAGCCCAATTTTGATGATGTAAGAGGGTGTCTTCACCCAAGAGACCCTGTTTTAGTGTTATAAAGATAGAACTATAGTTACCAGAATCATCTGTTCTGCTAGCGATTCCTCATTTTTGTGAAAGAATTACCACAAATCCCATCTCCTGGAAGTTAGCAACCACAGTTCATCATTTTATGAATCTCATTTTGATATCTTTGGAATCTAGATTTCACCTCACCAAATTTCAATTTGTAAGTGTGCAACTCCGCCATTCCCTGTCCCAAGCCTAGATAAGAAAGGAAAGGAGGACGGTTGTATTAGGTCGGCCGCCAGTGGAAAACTTTTTCAACATCCCTGTCATGAATCCTGATCCAACATTATATGCTTATGCTAGGGTGTTCCCTGTATGCAGCGCATTGTACAGGTTGTCTGACTGAGGTATAGCCCTTGATAGAGCGGAATGGCAAAACAAGATTCGTGTGGCCGACCCCAAAGTTGGGTTAAGGCTCGGATGATCATGATGATTATGAAGTGCACAAGATTGTGATTCAATGAATATTGAGACCTCGCTTCCTATTTTTTGGAGTAGCAGTCAAAGATATTTGAAGTCTAGATGCACTATATCAAAATGATTGCCAAAATTTTATGGCATGCTTGGAATTTTTAAACATTATTTGAAAATTTTATTATTTTAAAGTCCCCTAGGAAGGCCCCTACCGAATGGCTACATTCAGAAGCTGTTCTCCTCGCCTACTCTAATTGTTCTATCTAACGAATAGAGTGAGGGAATGAAGGATATACTAATAGCCTGAGTGATTGAACTTCACTACTTTTGCTTGCTGACTGGCTTGCTTACGTATTAACTAGCTAACTAGAAAAGTAAGAAAAGTTAACCCGTTTCACCCCTACGAATGTAATAAGCTTCTCTTATCACCGGCGCTCCACTTTGTTCTGCAAAGCTTGACTTGACAATGGTTCTCCACCTCCCCAAGGATGTTCAAACTAGGAGAACCGGTGTGACTCTCATTACTAGTAAGACTTATATCCTCATCCATGCCTTAACCAAACAAACCAGCTCTTCTCTCTTTAGTTAGTATGTGAGTTACCTATCCCTTTCCCGCACACTGTCCTACAAGAAAGAAAGTTGTAAAATGGTTAATATATGATGGGTATCTAAATGCTCTATGGGTGTCGACTAACTCTAGTTTACATTATTCCTAAATTTAAAAAATTGTACTAAATATCTTATTTTTAAGAATGCATTATTAATAACTAACGTATTTTCTTTATTCAATCTAAAAACTCTAGGAAAGTACTGAGTTAGGGGTACACTACCTTGTTTCCAATACTTGTGAATTATAATAAAGGGCATTCACTGCATTGACTCTAATGGTAGGGGAGGGTTGTCAAAGGTATCGATTCCAATAATAGGGAGTCCTGGGTAAGCATACTCAATCAAATAAGTCCAATACTGTAGAATTCTTGCTTATAGATAATGTAAAACCTTAAATCTTTTGCATTTTGGAACTCATTCCTTGATTATTTATGGCCTATTTCCAAGTGGGTTTGGTGCACGATTCGTATAAGTTAGGAATCTTGATTCCAAGTTGATTGGGCCGTGATTCCAACTATGTAGGAATCTCGATTCCTATTGGATTGGAGTGTGATTCCCAAGGGAATCCCATTTCATGTGATAAGTGTTGTATGGATGGAGACTGGGAATCCCATTTCATGTGATATGTATTGTATGGATGGAGACTCGAACAATAGGTATTATCTGGCCACCCCCAATTCCATGATTCTGATTCCTGAAACAATTTAGAAACACAGGAGTTTCCAACAACTATAGATAGAACACATCCCGCAAATTTGAGCATATGTTAGGAATCCCATAAAAACCTCTCTTGAAGATCTTTATAGTGTCCAATGCCAAACAACATATACAGGTTTTAGATAGCTACAACGATGATAATTGGGAGTTGTCTGAGCTCTCTTGCCCATCGAAACGTGCCTTTAATGCTAGGTGACATCTCTAACACTAACATTGTATTTAAAGCCCTAATGTTGATTTGCTGTTCTATGAATGAAATAAATACGCATAATGGGTGCTTTTCTCTCAAATATTTTCAATCTTTCACAGGAATAAACTGTATGTTGACTGGTTTTCTCTATCATGCATAACATTCTCCCTCTTTGAGAAACCGATTCAGCTAGAGTTTCGAGTTGGTAAGGCCTGACTTTGTATTATCATTAATGCTCCTTTCACTTTCATACGGTGCTTGTGTAGGTTTTTTAAGTTCTACCATTATCTCACCACAGATTATACATATCGTCGTAGGAATTTTATGCTATGAGCTGCCATTTTTCTTCAATGCTATGTCTTTTGGTGATGAGAAAATTGATTTGTATGTAGCTTATTGGCAAAACAGGAATAAGTAAATTGAGGCATTTATTTTCATTGGTTAATTCAATGCTTGTGTTAATTTGAGCAAGAAATGCTTAATAGTTAGCATAAAAGATTTGATTTGCGTGGAAATGTATGTATGTGTTTGGTATGGCCAAATATTTCGAAAGGTATTTATCAATAAGGAAAGTGTTTTTGCAAAGCTGTGGTTCGTTTCTTGTGATTTACATAAAGAGATAGTCCTTTGTAGTTCTCCAGTTAGTTTGCTTATGATCTATATTTGCCATTACGGGTTTTTGCAGTTCATCTTCTCGAGTTATCAATATTAGATGCTTATCTTATAATTATTTTTCCTATGCTTAAGACCTTTAGTAATCTATGATTGTTGTGGTTAATGTGACTTGCAGCTGCTTCGACTACACAAACGCATTGGCAGTGAGTTCCATCCCTTATTAATGTTTGTATTTTTGGTGAAATCTTAATAGATTATGTTTAGAGAATTTATCAGTTTTTCTTCACTTGATCATTGCTTAGCGATGGGAGAAGAAAAGGTATTTTGCATGTTATTAGGGCTATTTTTCATGTTTCCAGTACTTTTGTGTATATTGTTCTGTGAGGTTGGCTGGGTGCTATATTGTTTTTATATTTTAAGGGCATCCTTGTAATGCTTGTTTTGTAGTATGGTTATTTATTTGACTGTGTAAACATCCCAGTAGATGTCTGTTTTGGTCATTAAACGAAAATGATTTGTATGTTTGACCATTTACTCGGGTTTTAAGCTAAAGGAATTGACTGACTACTCAATGTGGTATTAGAGTATCATGCATTTTTATGCAAAAGGTGAATAAATCCAAGATACAGAGTATTGAAATGACAAATTTTCATAAGATTGAAGATTTATTATTTTCACACTGTGTTATATTCTCATTGGATTAGATTTTTGTGTAAATTATTTGTTAAAGCCTGAGGTATTGGTTTGTTCCAAAACTTGCAGGACTTGGTCGTAGGATACATGGGGGTGCCTAAGTACGCCGGAGTAACCATGACACAGCATCCGCAATACATCACAGTGAGGTGAGTTCATTCTTTTTTTATTTTTTGCTCAATCATATGCTTGTTTGAATAAACTTGGTCATATTGTCATTTGAATTTCCAATTGGCAGAAATGAACGTGGAAGAGAAATGCTTAATTTGATAATGCATCTTTTGGAGGTTTCTCCTACAATTAGTACTGTATGTTTACATCTTACTCAGACTTAATTCCTTGTAGTCAAATCTTAGGTCTTCCTTTCTCTTTCTGCCTTTTGAGGGCCAGATAGTGAAAGAGTGTTTATTTTCTCAGCATTTTATCAATGAACGGCTTATATGGCTGTTTGAGATTTTGATTTATCATGATCATTTCAGGGTAATCGTCATCCTTATGTTATGGAGACTGTTAAAACTGATGACAGAGCAAAAATAGGTATGCTGAGGCCTCTTGACTAGTTATTTTTCTCCTCTACCACTAAGGGAAGATACTTTTACCAGTTTATTTTGCACTGTTGTTCCCAATTAATCTACGACAGCTGTTTTTTGGTCGATGCATTACTTCTTGATGATGAAACAAGGAATGCAGGCTTTTACAATTCGTTGTATTAAACATATACTTGCATATACAAAAGAGAATCATGGGTCTGTTAGATTGGATTTTCGGAGTATCTAATTATTATAGACCACTTGAGCATCATATAGTATCCAGGTCTTGATTTAAGGACTTGGCTGCATGCCACCCCAAAGTACGTTTTGGTGCTATTGGAATGACCTTTTAGGTGATGGCCAGACTGTGTTCGGTGGCTTCTTTGGATGACACTTTATACCCCATTTAGGTATGGGCGTACTAAAAAAATGTAGCCCCTTGGTATGTGAAATGAAAACTGAAAATGCCAATTTCCATCCAATTGCAAAAATTCCGCATCTTGTTGGGAGCTGAATGTATTTGACTAAAACTCGTGGTGCTGTGAAACTAGCTGTAAATATGCCCATCTGTGTGAGAAAGTTATTACTTTCTTCCTCATGAAATGCATTTGTACCTTTTCAGGAAAGAATGCTTCTCCTCCCGCACCAAAGTTTATTGGTAATCTGATAGCATTTTTTTTAAATATGGTGAGTAATGCTTCTCACAACCAGTCATGTTATTTGTGAATAATCTTTGCTAATTTTTTGGAATTTGTCATTTCAGATTGGTCCTAAGGGTTTAGAGTTTGCACGCTACTCATTGGATTACCACACTATTCGGAACTATTTACATGTGTACCGTACATGGGGAAAGGAAAGGTGCAGTGCCTAATGAACTCGCCATTAAAGAGGCCTTCTCTCTCTCTCTCTCTCTCTCTCTCTCTCTCTCTCACATACGAGTTTTGTGTGGTTCCAGAGCAAACAGACATACACCCTCTTATGCAAAGAAGATCGTTAACAAATACAATGAGAAGGGTGAAATTGATCAGATGCTGTCTGACAGTTTAGGACCTTCAGGTTAGAGGTACATCCATCGAGCAATTTGTTTCCTGCCAGTGGTGGCCACATAGAGCATATTTTTATACTCGAAACCATACGCATAATGCAGTTATGATGCCACCCGTTCTTGTGCTCATTACATTGTTGATCAAATTAGGTTAGTAGGCATAGCTGTGCTGCACGTAATTTCTTGTGTTCCCTTTGCTTCAACGCAGAACCACTCAAACCATTTTGTATAATAATTGTCAATGCAAGTTCTCAGATGAAATTTATAATACGGTTCCTCAAGAAATTATTCTGTTGGTAACTAGTCTACTCATCAGGCAATTTTATGATTATAAAGCTACTCTTTTCTTTCCATTGGTAGATGTTTTTTTGGGAGGTACTGATTTTGGACGCAGCTTATACCTTTGTAAATGACTAAATAGCAACATATATGCTAGACATTTAACCTAAATGTATCATTCAGAAAGATCCGAACCTTGTATCAGTTGAGAAACGTCCTGGGACTTGAATGACTTTGCCATCAAATTATAACAATTTTTGTGAAAGGTGTTTCGCTGTTATGCCAAGTATCTCAAAATGATGGAAAATATAAAAGAAGTTTTTCATGTCTGTTATATATCAGTGACCATTATTATTAGTTATGCATCTCCTTTTTCTTGTATGAGTAGGGTATAATTTTCAATTCATCATTATTTCTCCTATAGGTTAATCAGAAATCACTCCCTTTTCATCATATTCCTTGAGTATTTGTGCAGGCTTAGGTTTTCCAGTATTCTTCAGAAAGTAACGTGTGAACCTCTATTTTGGCATTACCTAGCAGCTTTGTTTTTTTGACTGTTAGGCATTAGCTAGTGGTTTCGTTGGTTCCATGCATGAAATGGGTGAGTTCATTTAGTTCAAGTAATGAGAGGCTGTTGACTTGAAAAATGTTAAAATAAGGCCTAGCCCTTATAGAAAAAAAGTAAAGCCGCATCTTAAATCTCACTTACAATTGTACTTTTAGATTAAAAAAGCCTTCAAAACCATATTTATATATAGAGAAATGATCTAATGCAATGGTTGTATCTCAATCGCACTTCTAGAAAACCATGTTTGTAGTATTTGTGGTATTTTTTCCGTAAGGCCTAGCCATTACAGAAAAAAAGTAAAGCTGCATCTTAAATCTCACTTAAAATTGTACTTTTAAAGTAAAAAGACCTTCAAAACCATATTTATATATAGGGAAATGATCTAATGCAATGGTTGTATCATAATATAATGCAATCACATTTTTAGAAAACCATGTTTGTGGTATATGTATGACCTAAAATTTTGTACATGCTCTCTTCATTGCAATAATCAATCCAAAAAAAGTAAAAGTTTAATTTGAACTCTAGATATGGTCAAAATGAGGTCCCTCAAAGAATGAATCTAGATCATTCATTCGGTGAATTTCAAGATTTTAACCTTTGCAAACTTAAAATCATTTATTTCTTTTTAATATTATTCATCTAATGATAATAAAGTCATCTAAAAAAATTGGAAAAAAAGAAATCCTTCTAAGGCTTAGATCTAAGCATCTTATCAAAATGGATGGTCTATGTTAATTAGGTTAAAAAAATGCATTCAACGTTGTGTTTTCATTTTTTTGTTTTGTGATTGTTCATTAGAATGAAAAGAGTGTATATTTTCAAATTTGGATCAAACAAATGACCCTAATATGGTTTTGAAAAGTGTTGCATTATATTGCTATACAACCGTTGCATGAAATCACTGTCATATATATATATATATATATATATATATATATATATATATATATACTACACACACACACACGACGACGACGTGTACGTATACTACTATACTAACTATAGTACTATACGTATAACGTACGACGTAACCTACCTTAACTA